TTCCAAGATAAAATCTCTTTTTGCTATTTATTGCAAAAATTTAATTTAAAAAAAAATCATTAAATTTGTACAGGTAATCCTTGACTTACAACAGTTCGTTTAGTGGCTGTTCAAAGTTACAACAGCACTGAAAAAAGTGACTTATGGCTGTTTTTCACATGGCCATTACAGCATCCCAATGGTTATGTGATCAAAATTTGGAAGCTTGGAAACTGGTTCATATTTAGGACGATTGCCATGTCCCGGGGTCATTTTATCACCTTTTGGGATCTTCTTGCAAGCAAAGTCAATAGGGGAGCCAGATTCACTTAAGAACTGTGGCAAGAAAGGTCATAAACTGAGTCAAAATTCATTTAACAAGTGTTTTGCTTAGCAACAGAAATTTAGGGATCAATTGTGGTTGTAAGTCGAGGATCACCTGTGATTAAAAATTCCTTTACTGAGAATCGAACTTTACTAGCTGAAAAGCAATTTCTGAAAGTGTTTAGAAAAGAACGTATGCAAAGCCTATGTCCATAAAGACACCAACCACAGTGTGAGCAATGATAGCATTGCCTTGTCTCCCACAGCTTTAAACCTGCCAGAAACTGTCTTGCAAATTCCTCACAAGGAACAAATATCTGGAGCACTTGTGGGCAATCTCAAACCCTTTCCTTGTCCAGAAAGGAATAACAAAAAACTGGTCTATTTGCTGGTGCTTGATTCCACTGCAGTTGGATTCTTCAGTTCCCCATTTCTTCTCTGGAACTTGTATGAGACACTTTTCAAAGTATATGCCAAGGGGAAAAAGAAATCACAATGCAGTTTTAAGTATTTTGAATTGTAACTTCTGTCATAGTCACACAGCAGATGTAAGGGTGTATGAGAATTGTAGGCCATAACATGCGCAGAAGAACACATTACTTTTCTACGATGTACATCTATGATGTTTTAAATATGTATAAAATGTGAATATAATGTGTGCGTTTGTATACTTGTCTAAGAACTGTTGCTGGTTATAGCTCTTTGTTAAACATATACCCAGTTGCAAAGCCAATTTTGCAGGTGTGTCATGAGAAAATAATGAGGCATGGTCTAAATATCTACCTCTGTTCACCTGGATTCCAGAAATATTAACTGAGCACACATTTGTATATTTGCAGATATAAGAAAGTTCAGTGGATGTTCCACTTTGAAATGAACTGTACATAAGGTTTCCATACTGTAGCCCCCCCCTGTTATACAGAGGTTATCCAGGGACCATATTTCTCAATGTTTGTGTGCACATGTTTTCTTTTGAAAAATAATATTTGTAAAAGCATGCGCCAGTCAATTCTATTTACTTGTTCACTACATTTGTTAACCGCCCAATCATACAATTGTAGACATTGTATAAAGCAAAATTCTTGGTTTTATAAAGTGAAATGATATAAAAGAGCAAATTGATATAAAATTGCAACATTCTGTATGTTGGATTTGGAAACTACAGCAAGTGTCCGACACAGAGCTAAATCATTACATAGAGGTAGAGCACCCAGTTAGTGCAGAAAAATATCTATTTTGAAACTACAGTACCAGTGAGCTTCTGGAACCAATTCAAAATGATGCTGGTCACTTTTAAACCTACACTGCATAGTGTCAGGTTACGTTAAGAATTGCCTCAGCAGAACAGAAACTGCCTGCCTAGTTTAATCATCTCAACAGGATCCCCTGATAATCCTCATCCCGTTTCTTTTGACAATCATGGGCAATGCTGCCAATTTCCCCAGGAATAGCATCCACATGGATTTTCCACATGGATAAAGAAGTTAATATGGATATAATTCATTCTCCTTTGGTCTAAGGAGAGCATTGAAAGTAGCATGGCCTCCAAATGCCATAAGATAAATTAAAAGTGAAGATTGGACAGAAGCTCTCAAAAAATGGCTGGATCCAAAAGAGGATGTAGGCAGGCAGCATTATTCCCTCTCTCAAAGAAGCATCAACAATCTCCTGGATTCAGCAAGTGAAGTGATGTTCACATCACAAGAGAATCTTGTCCACCCTTGGGTGATAATTTTACAAAACTTGCTCACCATTATGAAGTCTGAGAACAACTTAATGCATAAAGAAATCCACAAATCTAATATGCCAGCAAATACTTTGCTATCCCACCCCCCCAAAAAATGGTCCAGGTAATTCTGAGCAAGATTGCTAGTGGGAATCTGCAGAAACAACAGGCACAAAAAAAAGCACTGGTTGCTCCTAGAATCACCAGGTAGGCCCATACTTAACATTGCCTAGTTTAGTAACAT